GTTTGTCAAAATCAACAGTAATTATGGGTTTAAGATCATTCTTGTCGAAAGAAACACCTTGTTGAGATGTTGGTTGAAATTTCATGTTTTCACCTCTAGGTAATTCGTTCGGTTTCACAGTTATCTTCTTGCTAACGGACCAGTCACATATTATGTCATAACTAGGGAGGGAGGAAGAGGGGTCCTCAAATACGGATGAGTGATGACGAAAAGGGGGTGGAGGTCAATAGCCATAATGACATCAACAATAAATAGTTATATGATATTATTTCTCTCTTAGATCAAACGAGCGCGAATGGCGCAAGTTTTTTGTATTGAAAACTGGTAAAATCAAAGGGAATGACTATTTGATATAGATAAATTATGAATGATACACAAAAGAAGAACATTATTCTTTTGTTAGTTAATGTTGTGTAATTGAGAATAAAACAAACAATTTAAAGTTATCTTCTTTCATTTTTCTATGTATTTTTCTTACTAAATAACAAATAGCAATGCACATTTTTTTAGCTATGCATCCAAATCAACAACTGTACAATTCATTTCTTAATGCTTATGTTAATTTGCATAAGGATATTAAAAAAACACAGATATGTGCATTAGCAGCAATTGATGATCTTGCCGTTATTTGTTTTTCTTTTTCTAAATCTCGATTGCATTTGAAAATGTTCAAAAAGCATGGAAACAAATAAGAAACAAATGAGAAGAAGTTGTTTAAACTGAAATCTCTCAAATGTCAGCTAAATCAAAAGCAAATCAATCATTATCATCACCTATTCTTATATTGTGGGCAAATAAAAAGAATTCATCTTCACTAACATCATCACTATCTTCTTTATCATTAAAATCCTCCGAAACATCAACAATTTCTGCATCATCAATATCTTTTCAATCATCAACAACTGCTGCAGTAGCATTATCTATTTTGAACAACGTCATCAGCAATTGATAGAGGTAAAGTTTCAATTTCTTCATAACATATAGAGTGAAGCACGTCCGTCTTCCTTCTATTTTAGAATCCTTTAAGCAAAAAAGTGTACAAAATGAATTGAATTTAGTTAATAAGCAAATAACAGCATTATCTAATTTAAAAGCAACCGGTTTATTGAAAGCCGAAAATTCTAAAGAATTAAGTGGTTTAATGAAAACACGATCTAAACTAAAACAAACAAACAATAAATGGCTTGAAAAATAATCAAGTTTTTCAAGTTCGAATGAGAAAAATATCGCCGTTTACGAATGACTTGTTTACTTTGACAATAATCCTGAAATAGCTGAAGAAATTACATCGATAATTTGTCATACATCAGATAGACCTAAATATAGAATATTCTCAATCTGGATTGTTAGGTAATAAACATGCGATGATATCTTGATGGAATCGAAAATAAATTTTGTTTGTTTTAGGTGCTATTGTGAATATTGCTAATTGTGTTGTAGTGGCTGCAGATAATCGTCGCCGTACTGATGCAATACAATCCTGTTTAACATTAGATTCATTAAAAGAACAGTTAGATATCAGAGGATATCAATTAAGTCGTACAGCAACGTATTATCGGTACGTACTAAATGTTTTCTCTGTAAACTTTCTTTACTTAAAGCTCAAATTTGATTTATTTATAGTTTATTACCAAAAAATTCAAGAACTATTGACGGTTAACAACATGTACATACGGTACCAGTTCGAATTCACCGTCTTGAAAATAGTTTACATAAATATCATAATGATAAAAAATTTGCTCAATCAACAATACGGGATTTAAAACAACTTGAATGTACATTAGAAAATGAAGCTGTGTTTTATTTAAGTCAAGATGATAAATGTCGAATTTACATGGGAATACCTGCTGCACACAAATAAGCACCTTTATTAATGCGCATGAAAATACAAATTAAACTTGCTGATCATGATTTTCTCGTGGGAACAAAGCAGAAACTAATCCCAAAGTAGTGAGTATGCTTTTCAACATATTATAAGCTTTTTATCATTTTTTTTTTCTAGTATATGGTGCTTGTCTTATCAATGAACAACGTGTATCATATAGTCGACCAACATTTGTAGCAGTTCGATATGGTAAACATGATCATAATTCTGATTTTGCACATGCAAAAGACTTTGATACACTCTCGTACAGTTACCTGAATTTGAACAAGCAGTTTTATCAGATAGAACTTTAAAACCAGTTGTTATTTTGTCTGTTGATGGTGGACCAGATGAAAATCGAAGATATCCGAAAACCATTCAGACTACAATAATTATATTTTGAGAAATATAATCTGGATGTTTTATTTATGGTTACAAATGCACCTGGTCAATCGGCATTTAATGAAGTCGAAAGAAGAATGGCTCCATTATCTCATGAATTGTCTGGTAAGCTGTCACTTTTCGCTTGAGATGGTTTATTTGTTCGTGAAAGATAATTTCTAGGTTTAGTTCTTCCCTACAATTATTATGGCAATGATTTGGATGAATCTGGTAAAACAATCGATCATGCATTAGAACTTCGAAATTTTCAACGACCAGGTATCTTTTTTTTTGTTTTTGTTTTCGCCATAGAAACAGATTTATGTTCTTAATTAATCTTTCTACGACAAATATTGTCTCAAGTTTGGTCACAATTAAAAATTGATAATCATCCAGTTGTATCGAAATATATTAAACCATTGTTAGATGATGCCGAAGTTGTAAATGAACCTGAAAATTTATTATGGTCTTCTGAACATATTCGTCAGAGTCAATATTTATTACAAATAGTCCGATGTAATAATAACAAATGTTGCAAACCATGGCGATCATATTATTTTCAAATTATTAATCAGCGTTTTATTCCATCACCTCTTGCTTTTCATATGTCAAAATTAGGTCCAATTCCACTACCCTTCGACCAAAAACATTCGAAGTTTTTTCATTTTATTTGAACGTCTTCACCTGCAAAACTTTATAAAAGAAAAATTAATTATGGATTACATACCATTTGATCATTATTGTTCATCATTAAAACATGATATTCAACGGCGAATATGTGCCACATGCGGTTTATATTTCTCATCAATAGCTTCTATGAAGAAACATAAAATTTTACATTCAATCAGATTTAAAAACAAACCAATAATCATTAATGATGATGATGATGATAGTGATAATGCAAACGATGACCAGGTGAAAATCAGTTTGAATGATTCTAGCTCAAACGAAGAAAAAAATCAAGAAGAACAAGTAGATAATAACAAAAATTCGGCACATATTATATTTAATAATATTTCACTTTTCAAAAATCCGATTTCGAACAAATTAAAATTACATAAATGAAGATTAGTATTATTTAACGAGTTACGTATTTATTATTAGTAATTTTTAATATCATATTTTTGTGTTATCTTTTTGGTTTTTTACATTTTCATGGTTGAGTTCTTTTTGTACTTGAAATAAACTGTGCATTTTCGTTTATTTTCTATTTATTTACTGATTGTTTTTCTTATGTTAAACTGAACTACATGAAAAAAGTAAATAAATGAAAAAGTAAAGTAGAGATAAACTTTGCCTTCTTGTACAAATTTCGAACACGGCAAGAGAAAAATTGTACCGAATAATTCATAAACCATTTAAAATGACTCTGATGACGTCATCGAGGAGGAGGGACTCTACGAAAAATGGCAAGTGATGACACAATGTGGAGGGTGTAGGTCTAAAAATTAAGAAAAAGTGATGACGTAATATGTGAATGGCTCCTAACAGCTTCATCTACAGCTTGCATTTCTTCACATATCTTCGTAGTTGTTCCTGACACTGCTTCAGTAGTTGAACCAGTTAGTGTTGTTAAAACCGTGTAACTAGGTGTGCTACCTTCTACTGTACTAACTGATGTAAGACCTGAACTGGTTTCTTCAGTTCGACTTGATTCAGTTCCAGTGAAGCCTGTAGTAAGTGTTGTTTCTCCTGTTTCTCTTGTTCCTCTTGTTTCTGATGGAATTG